AGGGATATTTTGGAAAAATGATTGATTGAACTGGAAAAAATCCCTTCTAAATTCAATCGAGCAAATATGGGAACAAGAAGTTTGCCTTTGGAGTAATTTAGTTCTTGCTTGAAAAAGCTGAACTTGATTTCTGTTGATTAAATTGTTTACATATGTGCTAACCAGTCTGTGTGACTTGTATGTGTTATTTGTGAATGCATTTTCTGGATTTATCTTTGTGATTACCCCTTCTTTGTGAATTCTTATGTTTTCTTCTGTGAAATTATAATTATTTTAGTTGTCTTTGTGATTACTAAAATTATGTTTATGTTGACTATGTGTTTACAGAAATTTGGCAATGATGACCCCTGTCCTTAAGTGTTCAAAAGGTCCAAGAACTCCATTTTAGATCAGGTGGAGATTTGTTGAGAACTGGGTCCAGGATGACCTTCTCTGGGATTGGGCCCAAGAGTGCAAAATCCACTTGGCAACCCAACTCGAGGTAATTGTTGGCCGAAAACCTACACGCAAGTGCACGTATCGTACAAGTAATATAGTGGATTAAAAGTCCGGATATCGAACCCACAGGAAATATTTAATTATCTAATCCTAGACGCTAAATTCTACCAATTATTTTCAAGCTCACCCTACACAGTCGAATTTTAGAGAGAATTAACTAAATTAAACTAAATTAAAAGCAAGCAAAAACAAGAAAGCAATTTAAAATGAAGATTAAATCAAGATAAGCAAGCCTAGGATTTTATTATTCCCTCTATGTGATTATTACTCCCCCAATTCCTTCAATTATGCAAGCAATTAACCCGGATTATTAACCTGAGATGCTAAAATAATCGTAACCCGCTTCCGCGTGTATTACGATTCTAATACTCTAGATTCAATTACTATATTCCTATGCAATTAATTCTAGAACACAGCATTAAGCACAAATCTCAATAATGGCTACCTAAGAGATTAACTATATTCCTATGTTAATACCACAAAGACTCTTCTACCACAGTTCTAATTATTAACCCGATCTTCCGATTCATGCGAGTAACAATAACATAAAAGCGCATAAAGTGGCCAGTTTCATGAACTTAATAAAACAAGAAGAAGAAATAATCTGGAATTAAAACTTGCATAAAATCATAGAATTGGGTTCATAAATCCCACATAGGGTTCCAAATAAAATCCTAGAAATAAAAACTTAGCTACTCGTGACTCTTATGATAAAGAAAATAAAATAAATAAATTAAATAAGAAAAACTATGCTTGAGTCTTCGTTGATCTTCGTTCCTCGCTTTTTGTGGTGTCAAATTTCCTCCTTATGGTGTAGAGACTTGTTGCTTTTATAGGCTTTTCTTGATAAGGAAGTAGTGGAAACCTAATAGGAATCAATTTCCGCCACTTTCCCCCATCAGGACTTGTTTTTCGATTTTCGCCGAGTTTTGGAATGTTGTGTAAATAAGAATTGTAGCCCTTGAAATTTGCTTTACAATGCCGCCAAAATCAGCTGATTTGGAGTTCGTATGAGAGAGATATGCTCGAAATGGTGGACACTGCCAAAGCTGTGGCGAGATTCCTTCTTCCAATTCGATTTATTTCCTTATTTGCAACTTTTTCCTTTCTTTTTGATCTTTTTTCCTTCATGGACACCTAATTCTCGTTTTCACCTATAAAACACAAAATCAATCAATTAAAAGCAAAAATATAATTAAATCTAGACAAAAGATCCACGTAAAGTAAACGTATTGAGCGTAAAATTTACACTCAACAGTAACAACTTTAACGGTTACTTAAGCCCACTCGGATAAAAGATGACTTTGATCTTGACGGTTCATTTGAATCGATTTAATCTTAGCCACTCATTTGTGTTCACATAAAACCCTAGACTGAAACCCTACTCTCATTTTTGTCTGTGTCGTTTCTCTCTCTCTCTCTCTCTCTCTCTCTCTCTCTCTGCTGCACCTTCATGCTTTTTCCATGTCGTTTTCCGGCAACCTCTTCACCGAGTCTCCGCCGTACTTGGAGAGGATTAAATGGGGATATAGGTGTTGTCTCCTACCGTTGCTACAACGTCTATATATACAACTTTTAGAGAGAGAGAAAGGGTACCACTGTTCGTAGTCTCCAGCCTCTCTCTTTGTTTAATCTTCTTTTTATGTAAGTGATTATACAGTGTGTGAGAGGGTTTGAGATCTGAGATCTGAGGAAAGTGTTGCCTTGTTATTGACTATACATGTGTTACCAGTATGGTTGTATCTATTCTTTTTCTTCTCCAAATAATGGTCCTAAGAAAGTAGGATTTTGCACATGAATTACAAGAAATAAAAGTACACTTTTGTACCAATTATCTGAATAATCCAACTCAATAACTTCCTCGACGGCACCTCCCGACATCCCACCGCCGTTGTCCACCTCCTCTCCAGCCGATGGTATAAAACAACGCCAGAGATGGTTGTGCCTGTTTTGAATATTTAATACTTTATTAATTCCTAAAAACCTCCTTGGGGTATTTCTAATTAAAAATATAATATTAAATTAAATAATACTTAAAAAAATGAGGGGTTTATGTGCATAAGTCCCTAACCAAACATCTTTATTATTCTAAGTTTAGGGGTTATATCTCTTTTACCGATAAGCTTATCCCTTTAATATTTATTATAAATAAAGGAAAATTTTATGCATATGACAAAATTACCTCAACCCTTTACACCAAATTCTTAATTGTAACCCTAATTTGATCAATTTTTTTGACCACAAAAATTCAATTTTGAATTTTTCTTTTCAAAAAAAAAAAATTTTGCCGCCAGATTCCGGCGTTGATTTTTCGATTTTTTTTTCTGGTCTGCTTTTTCGGCCGTCGGATTCCAGCGTTGACTTTTTGTTTTTTTGTCTGTTTTTTCCGCCGCCGGTCTCTGACGTTGACTTTTTTAGAGTTTTTTTTTTTCCGCTAAACGTTGACCGTAATTGTGCTGTCATTAACGGTAATTATACTGTCACTGACAAAAAATTCACGTAATTATACTCTCACTAACAAAACATTAACGTAATTGTACTGCCGTTGACAATACATTTATGTAATTGTACTGCCGTTGACAGTAAATTAACATAATATTATTTTATTTTTATTTTTGTTGTTTTTTTTAGTTTTGTTTGATTTGTTGACAAGTCAACGTAATTATATTACTATCGTTGGCAGGAAAGTAACTGTAAAAACAATAATATTACTGTCAACCACATCAATATTATCATTTTCTTTGGGTTTTTTTGTTTTGTTTGAGTTATTCACGGAGTAACGTAATAATATTACTGCCTATTATTGTAATATTACTGTAAACACAATAATATTACTCTGGTTGACGGTAATATTACTGTCAACCACATCAATATTATTATTTTGTTTGGGTTTTTTTGTTTTGTTTGAGTTATTCACGGAGTAACGTAATAATATTACTGTCTATTATGTAATATTACTGTGGTTGATGGTAATATTACTGTTGTTATAGTAATATTACTATCACTCACAATAATATTAATTCTTTTGCTTTTTTATTATGTTTACATTTGTTGAACGGTCAACATATTAATATTATTTTATTACACAATAATAATGAGTTTTGTTGTGTTAATATTACTGTGCTAGGGATTAATATAGCAATATTATTGTGTTAAACTGTAGTATAGTTAATTTTACTGTGTTTAACAGTAATATAGTTAATATTACTGTCAATCACAGCAATATTGTTGTTTAAACGAAAAAAAAAATGTTACATAAAGAAAGAAAAAAAATTCGAAAAAGTCAACGCCGGAAAACGGTGGCTGAAAAATCAAGAAGAAAAAAAATAATAAAAAAAAATTCAACACCGGAGACCAACAGTCAACGGCGCTGACGGACGAAATTGACCATAAAATTGTGTTTTGGGTCAAAATTGAATAACTTGTGAAATTTAGGGTCAAATTGAGGTTAGATTAAATTAAAGGATGAAATTGGAGTATATTAAAGTATGAGGGGCTATTATAGTCTTTTACAAACCTTTGGACCATGTGTGGACTTTTTTTATAAAGGAGTCTGGATCTCTTTATGAATAAGTATCCATTGATAGCCTTATTTCTAAAGACCCAAAAAAATTTTATAGCTTTTTTGTAGCTTTCTATATGTTTTTTCATGAGTAGTTAACGGTTAAAATTATAAATGGATCGAGTGTGTTATTTAAAGAATCTTATAGGGGGTTTTGTGTGATTATTTTTTATACGAGGACTTCTTCAGCAGTTCAAATTTACATAGGGGTGGTAATTGCAAATAATTCTAAATAGGTGTATAAGTGCATCATGCATGACGAAAGGTTGAAAGCGTACATTAGACATTATTATTTTATGTGTACATTGAAAGAACTATTCTATGTTCAAAAACAAAATTTCCGTAAGCTGCGTTTCGCTAGTCTATCAAGTATCAACTATATATATATATATATATATATATATATATATATATATATATATATATATATATATATATACACATACTGGCATCGTCGCTCAAGATTGGGAAGGCCAGTGTATCGGATGGAAGTCGGAGAGATTTCACAGGAGAGTGAAAGCAGTAGAGAGTGAAGCGCATGTAGCACTAAAAGCGACGGTCATGGCGCTGAAAAAGAGCTGGTCGTCAAGGATTATTATTGAAGGGGATAATCTCATAGTTATTAATCTAATGAAATATGTTTTATCACGTTATCTTTGGATCAATACTTAAATAATATTATTTAAACAAGGTTATTAATTGATCGAGGTCCTACTGTAGCCATAAAGGAATAGTAATTTTACGTCGGCGTAAATTTCAAGACTTCCTATTAGTTAGTACACTACAGTCACACTTTATTTTATTTTATTTTTTTATAGGAAGTACGGTCACACATGATATACAAAATTATCTGTCCCCATATCTCTGCAGAATTTCTTTTGTTATATAATATATATGTGTATGTGTGGGTTTGCATGTGATAAAGAATAGATAGAGATATATATAGAATAGGGATATATGCAATTAATTAATTAATGAAGGATAAGGTTAAGTGTTTGGACTCATTTTAAATGCCTCTTCCACAACTATACAAATATCAGACCTCTACTTGTATAGTTTTCTTCTATAAATAGTGAAACCAATCTGACAACATTCTCATCAAAAAACAAATAACAACACATCAAATCATCAAATATGGCTTCAAAAGCAATAGTTTTTCTGGTACTTTTCTTGGCTATGGTTGTTTTCATATCATCAGAAGTTGCAGCTAGAGATCTCGCCCAGACTTCCTCCACCGCTGAAACATGTATGAATTTTCCTTCTCTCTCTCTCTCTCTCTCTCTCTCTCTCTCTCTCTCTCTCTCTCTCTCTCTCTCTCTCTCTCTCTCTCTCTCTCTCTCTCTCTCTCTCTAACTTAATCTCAACTACCTATTTTAATGTCCTAAAGATTATTTGTCACTTAATGTAGCTAATTAATATGAATTTTTTTACTATATTAAAATAATCAGCAGTCGAAGTTGACGGAGGAGGCGGAAATGGAGGATACAGAGGAGGCGGCGGAAAAGGGTACGGTGGCGGTGGTAATGGCCGCGGAAACTATGGCGGTGGACGCGGCGGTGGCGGCGGGCGTGGTGGAAGGTGCCGGTATGGTTGTTGCGGCCGGAGCTTCTACAAAGGCAGTTGCAAGTGCTGTACATTTGCTGGTCAGAAGGTGGATGCCGAACCTCAAGCCAACCCTTAAAAAAGTTTTAATTTGTTTGGATTTCTGTGTGTGTTATTTCAGTACATGTGTGTTAGTGTGTGTTGCATGAGAAGTGTGAATAATAAGGTGCATGAATGAATGAATGAATGATAATATATCATATGTATATTCGTTCATGCACAAACACGTATTATGGGTGCATTATACTTTTGCCCCAGCGGTCGTGTCAAATTAATAAAAACTCATTTTGCTACTTTAATTTATCTTATTATTATTATAAACTTTATCTCATCCTTTGCTTTGGTACGAATATTACTTAATTATTTAAAATTTAAGTTAGCAGTACTGTGAAAAGGAAATGAGAAAAGTAGAGTAGTTGGTCAAATTTCAGTCTCCTAATTGACCAGATGCAAATGGCATGTTTGTTTATGTTTCTAAAACACATTTTCCAATTTTATACTACTTATAAAACACACATCATGTGTTTGTTAATTGTATCCGCCAGAAATTATTATTTGTTCTTATTAAATATTTATTGAAAATACATTATTCATATTTTTTTCAATTTTCAAACATACTAAAACTTACTATTGATCTATATATTTTATTATACCAGCTCATTTCTCTCTCATTCTATTCATCTCTGTTCATTAATATTCACACTCTTTCTCCTCTCATTTCTCCCTTCTCATTAGTATTTGCAGTCTCTCTCCTCCCATTTCTCTCGCCTCATTAATATCTCAACCTTTCACTCTCTCTAATAATAATCATAATAATAATAATAATAATAATAATAATCATCATATTCAATCATATATATTATATTTTTTCATGTACTTTCGTAGAGAAAACTACAACCAAACATATTCTTATTTTCACACCTTTATAAGACTTATATTTTACTTCATTCAAATATATTCTCATTTTCTACACAAAAACTAATATATATCTACTTTTTCAGTACTGATCAGCAATTAATTTGTACATGCATGCAACTGCATATCTAGCTAATACATACATAGAGAGAGAGAGATAGATCTATTCTTTTTTTTTTGGACTATTATATTGCATGTGGATAAGTATTATATCATAAAGCACAACTTGCATGAACCATTAAATTAGTGTGTGTGCCCTCTCTTAAAGAAAGGGGACCCTGCATGTATAAAGTATTTCTTCATCTTCTTTTTACAAAGTGTAGGGTTTCGGGATACTTAATTAATTTATAGCAATGGATTGTATGTTATTATATACTTCATGCCTCCTGTCATTCTATTTACATATATGTATTTATATATCATGCAAAAACCTAGTTGATCATCTATGTTAGAAACTCAATTAAATCAATATATAGATAAATGTAGCATATATATATGGGGTGAACAAAAAACCTCATGTGAGTTGCGGTAATCTCTAAAGTAAGGTCAAATTATGAAGAAAAAAAAATATTCTATTTGGGTAATTATACAACCACGCCTCAACTATAAATCTTCTTATACCACCGCCTTTATATATGTCAAATTCAACAATCTTCTAGATTCTATAGAATGTTCTCTAATTTGTACTTGTTCCGTGAAAAATGCATTTTATGACGCACCACAATCTGATATTTATAAGTCAAGAGACACATTTATTATGATCATCTTGTTTCAAAATGTAGAGTTCGAATATTCTAAATAATATATTGTATTCTACTGAATTTATTTTATTTATATATATATATATATATATATATATATATATATATATATATATATAGTTATGTGTGATTTTATACACACGTGTATGTGCCAAATACAGATATAGCTGATCTCAGGTAGGGGCCTGAAGATCTATGGTTGTGGAGCTTAAGGAAGATAAGGTGATGCCGTGTAGCAATTGAGAGACAAGAAAGTTAGTCAATTATGATAAATATGTTCACATTACAAATGGTTGATTTTGCAATGATAGCTGAAACATGTACATGTGCATTTGCATGTGAAGACATCACATAGGACAGTTAGCATATATTGCTCCATACGTACGTAGGGTACAACTTTTTGGTTTTTTTTTTTTTTGGTTTTTTTTTTTTTTCTTTTTTTCCGGAAGATGGTTATGGAACTATATATATACTTCTTCTCCCGGTGTTTTGAATCCATAACCGAATAGATTTTAGGTGCAATGTGCTTACCAACAAATATAAAAACACTAATATTATTGTGGTTTACATTAAAATAGATTATATTGCTGTTTCACACAGTAATATTGTTATATTACTATCTAGCACAGTAGTATTAACACAACAAAATTACTATACTACGTAATAACTTCATGTGTAATATAATAATATTATTACATAGACCGGTCAACAAAGATAAACAAAATAAGGAAAAACAAAAAAAACTAAAAAAAATAATAGGATGCGGCTATATGCAATACTAATTCCACTTGTGCAATACCAAATTAAAGAAATATTCCAAAAGATTCCATTTTATGAACATGAAATGACAAATATACCCATAAACCAAATTGACTTTTGTTTGCTCATGCAAGACCAAATAACAAATAATGAAAAAACAAAAAAAACAAAAAGAAAAAAACAAAGAAAACGTGAAATTTAAAACACACCCCCCGGCCCCCCCAACCAGCACAGTAATATTAACACAACAAAATTACTATACTACGTAATAAATTCATGTGTAATATAATAATACTATTATATTGACCGGTCAACAAAGATAAACAAAATAAATAAAAACTAAAAAAACTAAAAAGAATAATAGGATGCGGCTATATGCAATACTAATTCCACTTGTGCAAGACCAAATTAAAGAAATATTTCAAAAGATTCCATTTTATGAACATGAAATGACAAATATACCCATAAACCAAATTGACTTTTGTTTGCTCATGCAAGACCAAATAACAAATAATGAAAAAACAAAAACAACAAAAAGAAAACAAAGAAAACGTGAAATTAAAAAAACCCACCCACCCCCCACCACCCCCACCCCCCACCCCCGAATCTCCGCCGCCCAAGCTTTGCCGCCGACCGACGCTCGGGATGCGACATCTTGATGTCTTGTACATACTTTTGAAACCTTGAATGAATTTGGACAATAAACTGTGTATTTGCATTCGTCTTTTGCTATAAAAAATAAATGAATATTGAAATAAAAAGTAATTGGAAAATAGAAAGTCAAAAAAAAAATATGAAACAACTAAATTTCGACATTAAGGTGTCGAATATATGTCCATCAATTCGACACCTTAAAGTCAAAATTTATTATATTTGGACTAATTTACTAACAGTTAAATTTCGACACTAAGTTGTTGATTTTGTACTCCAAATTCGACATCTCAATGTCGATTTTTACCTATAAAATTCGACCTGTACATGTCGACTGCGTCTGCGCGAGATTTTTTTTTGAAAAAACGATATTCTAGCTAAAAAACACATAAATGCATATCTTTCTTGGGTTCTTGCACCGTATAATCTTCTATTTTGATGTCTTCTAACTCCATACTTGCCATGTTTGTAAGATTTGTTGAGTTTTGATGATTTTGAATGTCTAGGTTTTGTGGGTTTATGGAGGAGGAAGGAGAAAAGTTGTGAGTTTTGGAAGATGAAGAAGATGAGAGTTGGTTTTGTGGTTTTGTGATAGGGTTTTTTGTGTTTATGAGTTTTTGGTATTGCACATTTGAAATTTTCTATTTTTTTAACAACTAAGGGTATTATAGTATTTATACATTGAAAATTTTAATTTGGTATTGCAGAAGTAGAATTAGTCTCGCATATAGCCGCAGTCAAAATAATATTGATGTTGTTGATAGCACTATTAATATCCATTACAGTAGTATTAGTGAGGTTGATAGTAATATAACTGTCAACCACAGTAATATTAAAATACTAGATAATAATATTATTACGTTGACCGGTCAACAAAATAAAAAAAAAGAATCTAAAATATATAATATTGAGGTAGTTGATAGTAATATTATTGTGGTTGACAGTTATTTATTAATATTAATGTGGTTGAGAATAAAATTACTGTAAACAAAATGAACAAAATAAATAATAAAAAAATAAAATAACATTGATGTAGTTTATAGTAATATTACTGTGGTTGATAGTAATTTAGTAATATTATTGTGGTTGACAGTATTTACTGTAAATGATCAGCGGCAGACGGGACAAAAAGTTTTACCAAAAGAAAAAAGTGGACGTTATCGGATACCGACGTTGACCGTGTCATTGGCGGCGGCGACGAAAAAAAAAAAGCATAAAGACAAAAATCGAAAAAAAGTCAACGCCGCCAGTCAGCTACGGCGGAGAAAAAGAAGAAAGAAGAAGAGTAAAAAAAAGGAAAAAAATGTCAACACTGCTGGAGACCGTTGTTGATCGGCTGTTAGTGGCAGCGGTGGCGATGGAAAAAGAAAAGCATTTTCATTTTGGTTTCAGTAGGAATGCAAATAAGTTCTCCTGGAGTTATATGCAATTCTCCTCCTTTAAATAATTTAAGAATAGCAATAATATTTGGAACACCATGGCCAAGTTCAGTGGCAGCGAGAAATCTTCAGTACAAATAAAAGAGCCCTGAGTTGGAACCGACTAAATTCTATTAATTTAACGAAATATTTTTAACACGCTATTTGTGGATGGTGCCTAAAAAACATATTATTTAAATAAGGGTATTAATTTTATAGATGTTCTCCTTTAATCGTAAAGGAAGAATAATTATCCGGCTACATAAAATCCAGACTTCCCATTAAGTAGTACGGTCACACATAAAAGTAATTAATCCGGCTACATAACGAAATAGTGTATTAATATATCTGCAGAATTTCAATTATTATATAATATGTATGGGTGTGGGTGTGCATGTGATATATCAAGAATGGATAAGAGATATATGCAATTAATTAATTAATTAATTAATTAATTAATTAATGAAAGATAAGGTTGTGTTTGGACTCATTTAAAATGCCTCTTCCACAACTATACAAATATGGGCCAACATATCACCCCTCTACTTGTATAGTTTTCTTCTATAAATAGAGAAGCCAATCAGAGAGCATTCTCATCAAAAACAAATAGCAAAACATCAAATTAAGTCATCAAAAAATGGCATCCAAAGCAATAGTTTATCTTGTCCTTTTGTTGGCTATGGTTGTTTTCATATCAACAGAAGTTGCAGCTAGGGATCTCGCTGAGACATCCAACACAGTTGATGCATGTATGAAATTTCTTTCTCTCTCTAAAACTTAATCTCAAGTATTCAT